AGACTAGAGAAAAATCCAGAAGTTGGGAGGCCGCTGTCATTTGTAAGGAGCACACGGAGCCCCTGGGATTTGTACATCTCTGTTGTAATGTATGATTTTCTTTTTATATATATATATTAGGGATGCATCGATAACATTTTTGCGAGTACAAGTACTAATACTCGTCCAAGTCCTCACAGATACAAGTACTGATACATTTTTGTTTATTGCCATGTGACAGTGTTTCTAAAAACAATACAGACTAATGATTTCAGGACAGTGGTGGAGCGCCAGAGCCCGGTCCCAGCTGCAACCGCTGCAACCCCGGGAGTTCTCATGAAAAGGCCAAGTATCGGCACTGGTATCTGAACATCCCTAATCTAAAGCCAAACCTTTTTTTTTTTTCTATTTCAAATAGATTACTTATTATGTTTTGCTATCTTCATGTCATTAGTGAAATGTTCCTTCACTTCCTGTACTTTAGACTAAACAGGCAGCGAGAGGATATTTTTCCAATGAGGATATAGTTCCAGTTGTCTCAGGAACGAGCGTCCCCATTGCATAAGTCCCAACTGTCCCTCATTTGGAACCAAACCCCTCTGTCCCTCTTTCCTCCTCCATTGTTCCTCGTTTTGGTCCGATGTACAGATATATTTTAAAGTGTTCTATGTTTATTTATTATTTATTTATTACAGGTATTTATATACTTTACTATAAAATGAACAAAAGGGTTATGATACACTAAAACGTTTATCTTCATTGCTATTTGCCAGTATAAAAGAATAATAAAGGTGAAAAACAATTCCGGATCCAACCAATCATTTCTGGCATATAAATTCTTAATGGTCCACATAATTGGGGGCGGGGCGAGGGTGTGTCCATTGCTTAAATACATTGTGCTGGAAAGTGTCCCGAATAAAACATGAAGGGTCGTTTCTGGGCAAGGACAGACGTGTGGAGGAGCCACAGACTGAATCAACTCTCTCCAGGCAGTGCTGACGTAATGACATCAGTGCTGCCTAGTGAGAACTACAAGGAGCCACAACACAACCAGCTACCGTGCTGAAAGGATGAGCACGGTGGGGGCTGGTTGTCTGGAGTGGAAATAGATGGCCTGGGACACATTTAATGGAACGTTGCAGGCTTCATTTATGGACAAAGTAGGAACTATTCCATAGAGCAGCGGTTCTCAACCTGTGAGTCGCGACCCCGTTGGAGGTCGAATGATGATTTGCCAGGGGTCACCCAGGATTAGATAGCGGCTCCCGGCCGCCCGGGAGAGAAACACTTTCTCCCGGAAAGGTTTAATCTGCTCGATCAAGCAGAGTAAACCTTTCCCTGCGATCTTTTTTTTCCCGCTGACGTCGGGAGCCGCGGCCCGCTGTAAGTCAGAAAAAAAAAACCCGCCATAGGAATGCATAGCTAGATTCCGATTGGCTATTTCACTTTGCAATAGCCAATAGCAAATAGCCAATAGCAAAGTAGCTATTGCACCCGCCCACTGCTGCTGCCAATCAGCAGAGGGGGACCTGCAGTTCTCCATCAGGTCCTCTTCTAGTGATTGACAGCAGCAGAGGGCGGGTGCAGTAGCTAGTTTGCTATTGGCTATTGCAAAGTGAAATAGCCAATCGGAATCTAGCTATGCATTCCTATGGTGTTTTTTAAAAAATTATTATTCTGACGGCGTACACCAGTGGTTCTCAAACTGCGGGTCACTGTGTGATTTCTGCTGTGCTAGGGGAATGTCCTCTTCAGCCCTCTCCTAGCCCAGCAGTGTCAGTTCTCCCGCCATGCCACCAGATATCGATGCAACAGCCGCGTCATCCCTACATTTTACCGTTGGGGGGTCACCACAACTTGGCAAATGTTACCAAGGGGTCCCGGCACTAGAAAGGTTGAGAACCACTGCCTTAGAGCATTCCCTTTTGATGAAGTCAAATCGACGAAACATGTCAAGGGAGAGACCTGTCTTTGCCTCGTAGAGCTGAGAATCCTTCCGTTACATGTGATTTTATCTCTACGATCTCGTAAGTGTTTTCTTTGTGTGTCGTGGAAAAATAAACATTTTTTACTGCACTTAGGCGCTCTCCACCTTTTCTCCACACCTTTTACCTTTGAGACATCATAGGGGAAACCGCCGTTGACACGGCGTGGTGTGATCTGACTGAACAGGAAGGGGGCAAGTTGTACTCGGCTAGCCCATCCATGTGGGACTGAAGAGGCGGCCGATCACTAGGAAAATAACAGATCGCTGTTTTGATTATCATCGTTGCTCAGTATGAACATAGACTGAACATATCGACGCCTTCTAAGAAAGGAAAGTAAATCCATTTTTTTCTCTCTTCCTGAGACTTTTTGTTGCGGTTATTTTGGACTTATATATTTGGAGCAGAGGGATATTGTGTCACCTCAGCTAACCACTTTCTGATGCACTTGTTTATTGTTATACCACTTATATGTTTTACACCAGTATTAGATTTGTAGCATTGTATTAATTGGAGTGGAAGCACGGATTCGTATTATTTTATTCACTAGTATCGGTATCGGTACCGAGTATTTGGGTGAGTACTCGTACTCGCCCAAATGCTCCAATACCTAGCACGAGTACTTCCTGTATCAGGAAGCCGGGCAGCGCATCATTACACGCTGCCCGGTTTCCTGATTGGCCAGGAAACGGCTCCAGGAAGCAGCGTCATGCTCCCTCAGAATGACGCAGCGCCCGGCATTCTGATTGGCCGGGAAGCCGGCGTCATGCTCCCTCGTCATCTCATGAATCATATTATTAAGAAAGTGACCTTAAAGCATTAGTTTGTATTGCTTTAGAAAAAATGTGACCTGTCCCTTTAAGAAAAAGTATCGGTAATTGGTATCTGCGAGTACTTGATCAAAAGTATCGGTACTCGTACTCGGTCCTAAAAAAGTGGTATCAGTGAATCCCTAATATTCACATTCGCACACCTATTGGGGTTAGGACACAGACAGCAAGATTTATATACAATTTGATTCCACGTGTGTTTAGTTTTACAATTTAGGGTTTGTTGCACGGAGACATTATCCATTTGACTTCACTCATGTTATGTCATGAATAAAATCATCATCATGATTTTCATTAGTTTATTTGTTCACATTCAGACTGAGCGCAACATATTAGCAGCACACTAACCCTGTACATATATTGGGAACATGAACATGGGTGGGAGGTGGTTTTTTCAGCGCTGTTAAATTTGTTCACTTATTGATGTTATCAGCAGATTGTTTGCAAGTTTACATTGTTTGGAGACGGCTTGTTTTGTTCTTTTCTACCCACCCCTCATGTTTCTAAATAATTAATAAAAAATAAGCTTTTGTTTTGTTTCAATCTGCAGTCGCTGCCATTTTTTTAATGAACAAAATGAAATGCAATATGACATTCCGGAGGCATTCTTTCTATGTGCTGATTTGAAGACGAAATACAAAGAATATTGTGCAATAAATTTTTCGCTCCATAAGACGCACTTTTTCGCTCCCCAAAAGGCGGGCAAAAATGTCTGTGCGTCTTATGGAGCGAATGTGTGAGAGCTGAGGCAGCAGGGCTGACAGGGATTCCACACCCCTGGGTACACTATCGCCCGACGCCTGGGACATGCAGTTTCGGGCGCCGGGCGAGCAGTTTTTTTTGTACATTTAGCCCTGCTCCTGACAAGCAGAGCTAAATGTATAGCGTGGAGCCGCCGCTCGTTTTCATACAAGTGATCTGATTAGATCACTTGTATGAAAGGAGCAGCGGCGATCCTGTCCGCCCCCGCCGTGGTTTTCGGGGTCCCCCGCTCCTCTGGGGGACCCGTGACCACGGCATAGGAGGTCACCATAGAGCCAGTAGAGCAGACGAAGAACGTCCGTTCCTCGTCTGCTCTGTGTGATCACTGAGACCGTGGCGCTGTAATCACAGTACTACCTGTCTCAGCTGTCAGGAACTACACAGTACACAGGTACACAGACTGCGTCTTATGGTCAGGTGCGCCTTATGGAGCGCAAAATACGATATATATTAACTATAAAATCAGTGATCGAAATATTCTTGGTGACAATAAATAATATGATTAAAAATATGCAATGCAATTGACCAGCAAATATAACACTATGCAATGAACTCCAGAGGTTATTATTACAAATATTAACAAAACATAATAACTATGTATCTGTGAAATGCAGGGAGTGGAACTCTCAGTAGAATATGATGACTAAAGAATGTGCAGATTGAACATGCGACCTCCCTCAGCAAAACAAATATTTAGAGCTGAAAATCCTGACTCTCGCCCATGGTTTAATAGTTCTTTATTCAGCTTTACAGATATTATACAATAGACTGAAAGGACTCTTTTGCCCTTTGCAGATTTACACGGTAGATTTAAACTTCCGCCTAGATCCCTTTTTACAGATCTTCACATTAAACACTACGCATATTCTGTCTCCACCGCCTTTTTCTAAATTAACTTCGAGAGCATATGTTTGGAAGGTCTTATCCGTAAACGTCTTACCTCTGATATTTATAGACTCCTCAACTCGATTCAGACTGACCCCTTTCCTAAACATAAATATACGCTTTGGGTCGGACATTGTCCATGGAGGATTGGGAAGAGATTGGGTCTAACGCTGACAAGACCTTCCTTTGTGTATCATAGATCTTATATCTAATGGCCATTCATATTTCCTATTGACAGATTGCGTCCGGATCCTTTTGCTTAGGGCAGACAAACATTTCTGTAACAGAAGGTTATTTTTCTGCTTTTTGCCTCATCCTTTCTCTCCCTGCAAACACAATGACAATGGCAACTGGAGCTACGTACACTGGTCTTACATATTTAATATGGGTGTACCAAACCACACCACCACTGCTAACTAGTTTGCAATGCGGAAGAACTTAATGATAGCTTAGGTCAATTGTAAGACATCATGGAGGGCAAAAGAATAAAAGGCCAAATGTTACAGAGTTTCAAAACTACACAAATTTCTACCTGGGGCAATCCGCTCAAAATTCCAGTTTATACGTTCAATATTATAATATTACTTTGGTTGTCATTTTGTGATAGAAAAACTACTACTAAGAGCCTGCTCATTGCTCTCTGAACATCTTTGTTTCTCAAGCTGTAGATCAGGGGGTTCAGCATCGGAGTGATCATCGTGTAAAATACTGCCACCCTTTTGTCTGTGTCCGCTGTCACTGAATGCTCAGGTCTACCGTACATGAACATGGCCGTCCCATAGAAGATGACCACCACCACAAGGTGGGAAATACAGGTGGAAAAGGCTTTGTTCTTTCCTGCACGTATTGTCATGACAGCGGCTATGATTCGGATGTATGAAATGAGGATCAGTGAAAGTGGAATGATAAGCACGATGGCTGTGCCCACCATTTTTAAGATGTTGACTGTGGAGATGTCACTGCATGAGAGCTTAAGCATTAGAGGGAGCTCACAGAAAAAATGGTTGATGGTGTTAGGGCCACAGAACGTTAAAGTGAATGTAAAACATGTATCAATAGATGAAACAATGGAGCCAGTCACCCATGACATGCTGATCATCATCAAAGAGACCCTTATAGTCATGATCATATTGTAATGTAGAGGACTACAAATGGCAACGTAACGGTCATAGGACATGAATGCCAGAAGAAGACACTCAGTCACCCCCAAGAACAGTGAAAAGAAGAACTGGACGGCACAGCCAATGAATGAAATAGTCTTTTTCACTAACAGAAAATGTACTAAAGTGTTGGGTACAATGGAGGAGGTGTAGCAGATGTCCAAGAAGGACAGACTACACAAGAAGATGTACATGGAGGTGTGCAGACGCTTGTCGGTCCTCACAGCCACCATGAGGAGAATGTTCCCGGACAGTGCTATCATGTAGATTATAAGGAAAATGTGGAACAGAACAATTTGTACTAAAGGATCCGAGGAGAGTCCAAGAAGAATGAATTCTGTGACAGTGCTTTGGTTCCCGGTGTACATATTAATTACTCCACGCTGTGATGAAGAAAAATCATTGGTTCATATAAAGTCATCATATGTGATATCACGTAGATGTGTATGAACATGTGAGAACAATCATGCTAATATTTCTCATTGCCTGGTACATAGATAATAGGAGAAACTTTAAACCTTACATAATAGAATTCTGGATGAAAGCCATTAGTGTTGAAAATTGAAGTTTTAGGCATTTATGAGAAATGAGTGTAATCTATAGACCTATGGAGAATATTCTCTGACACATACAGACCTCCCTGCCGGTAATCCCATGTAGATGAAAACTCAGGATCTCAATTATTTCCCTTGAATATATGTCCCATCTTAGCTTTGTGGCTGCAAGACCCTGTATGTGAATGGCTGAATGACCTTCTCTACCTGGAATTGTGATAATGATACTCAACCATCTGATGAGTGACTATTACTAGAGGTTGCCTTACTGTCTCACTATCTCCTCTCCTTTACTCTCTTCTCCCCTCACTATACACTGAGTTACTCTCTTCTCCCCTCACTATACACTGAGTTACTCTCTTCTCCCCTCACTATACACTGAGTGGCCAGATTATTATGACCACCTGACGTTTGTAGGCCAATTAGGGGGGGGGTCATAATAATCTGGCCGCTCGGTGTATAGGACAATAAAGGAGCAACAGCAGCATACTGATGAAGTCATTACTCCCCCCTCTTGTAAGCTTATTCACAGCTTTAGACTATCAGTGCCCTCTAAGAGGTCAGGAAGAAAACCAGAAAGCTGAGGACAATCCATAAAATTGAGCAATTCCTTATTAGAATAGTAAGAGTTACCTGAAGGTATGTTATTCTGAGAAATACATTATTACAGCAGGCTGTCTTTCAGTATTATAAAAATAGCTGGAAAATGAAACAAAGTGCCTAAATTTACCTTTACTTTTTACTGCTTAGTTTATTTTTATCATAACATAATAATATTAATAATAAT